TATTAGTACATTGCATACATTATACAAAGTCTCGATCTCAGGAATCAGGTTGCCCCTCTGTACATTTGAGGCAATCTGTTTCTTGCAGTGTTGTTTGCAACTGAACTGTCCACATTAAACACATTTTTATGACGGAAATGGATTTTTCGGTTGTCCACACAGAAAGGTCATCGATCTTTTTGTTAAGTGCACTTCTGACTCCTTATATGACATTCAGAATTGGACCGAGATAGAGTGACAGCCGCGGACAGAGATGTTTCGCTTTCACTATTATTTACTCATACACTCTCTTCAATACTTTCTTCACAAATGTTATATTTACCCACTTGAAAAATAACAGTATCATGGGCAAAGTCATTTTCTTCTTCTGAAAGTTGTGAAGAGCTCAAGGAATATCCTCGTCACATAGTTCAAGAACACATGATGCTAACGCAAACATTTGTGCACTATAAAAAGTACACTTCATAGAATGAAGGTACATAAACTCTGCCTGCCATAACTTTTATTAAACTATTTTAATGTACCTAAACACAAAGCGGAAAGATACACGAAGGAATACCACATTCGTTGAAGCCAATTGCAGCAGTGAATTACGAAGAAACTATCAAAATTAAAATGAGCTGTTAAATTTATATCAGTGGGAGTAACGGAGGGGAAAAAACCTATCTTCAAGGTCTTAGTTCTGAAAAGAAATTAAACTTCCGCAATTTTCAAAAAACCAAATATTTTAACGATAATGAGACCTGCACCATTCTCTGAAGTGTCCTTTTTGCTTAATCGCATGGGAAATATCAATTTTGGAGAAAATCAGCTGGACAGTTATAGTCCTTCTCAAGTTTTAATGGAATACACATAACCAGACCCTTGTTCAATTTCTTGAGACCATTTGTTATTAGTTTATTAATGTAACACATTGTTAATGTTATTTTTAATTTGTTAATGAGTCTTTTGTATTGTTTAAAATAATGTCTCACATTTCATGTTAAATAGCATCAGATGTTCAGTGTGTCTGTTATTCTGCATGTCTTGCATAGTCTTGTTAGCAAATGTTCCTTGCTACTCTTAAAATGCATCTATTTCCATCCTTCAGTCAGATTTCATGACCTGCCTCAGTGGGTCATATTGATGACTGACTACATACGTTTCCATCCTGACTATTGCATTGTGCCAGGAGGCTTCAATTTGTCTGAGGCCTCTTCCTCCTTCCTTACATGACAAAGTATGTACACTAGCTTCAGAGTGGGCGACATGATGCAGTAAGCAGTTTTCTGGTTTTTCGATCCACGATTTGAATTTCCAGCCCACTAGTCCCAAACTGTATTTGGTTATAGGCATCGCCAAACTACCTATTGCAGATATTTTATTCCTGGAGCGGACTGCATGACAAGTCTCACTCTTCTAAAATAGTCCCTGTGAATTCTCTCTCCCATTGTGTCATTATTCTTATTATTATTACTTTAGTTACATACATGAACTATTATATTTTTTCTAGCATCGTTGGGTTTTGAAATTATAGTTATGTCCATGAATTACTTTAATTTTCTATTGTATTTGGATATGTATTCTTTGAATGTTGATATCTCCATTCAAAGTCGTAGTTTCTTATGCATTATGTATTATTCTCATGCACTGCATTTTTTATGTATATTTATACATTTCACTACAATTACTCATATGGGACTTTCTACACTACAAATCTAATTAGTTTGTTATCTGTTCATTACAAGTAAAATAAAAATAGAACAAAGGTTCCTAATTAATTTAATGAAAGTCTGATTATCATTAAAATCTTTGTATTTTCAAACTTTTGTACCTATATTACTGAAGCTGGAGAATTATTACCAAGACAATAGAGGGGACTCTTAAAATGACGTATACATCTTTTTCCCTCCAAAAATCAGCCAAGGGTTGTCATGTAATTTTAAATCTAAATATAAATTTCAGAAAAACTCCTGAACAAGATTCTCTCAAAAAGGTACTAAATTTTCTCTAATCTTTTGGCAAGACTAGAGCCCAAAGTATTGAATCACATGACAGCAATGTCATTTTTATAAAAACCTGTGAATTTAAAAAAAATGTATAGTTTCAGTATATTTTTTTTTTCCTAATCTCTAGGGCACCATTGTTATTTACATTGCAAGGGTATTTCATGATTTAATACATTTAAGGGCACAACAGCTTCAAGTTGCCACTTTTGAAATTACTCAAGATTGAAATTCGAAGTGTACCTAATGATAATAGTTTCTTTTTGATGTGTATATTGATCTATTAAGACATACATACAAATAAATTTAAAAAAAAAACAACAACAACATAAATAACCATATATCATGGTTTACATAAACACTTGCTTGATCACAATACACATTACTGCTAATGCTCAGATCAACCTACACTCTCATAATGATTTGTTATTTTTGACCTCTGAAGAGAATCCTAATAAATTGAGCAAAAGTTAGTAACGGTTACTATTTATAATTGGAAATATAATGCAATATGTCATATTTAATACATTTATGATTCAAGCAACTATTTATGTAATTCATGTATAGTTAATTATGTAATTACAACATTTTTTATAATTTTTTTTGTATGTCTGTGTGTATTTGACAGTCTTTGTTATTAATTTCCAAACTGAAGTGAGCCCAAAATGGTGTCTTTTCAAAATACAATTGTTTTCTCAGTAGTTTTTCAATGTAATATTACATCTTAAATATTTTTACGGCAACAAATCATGAACCATTGTATTCATTGAAGTGTTCTCTAAGAGAGTTTAATTACATTGCTTCACCCAGGGCTTTTAATGCTGTTAAAGCTTGTAGTATGTAGTATGTAGTAACAACTCAAAAATAAGATGTAACCTTGAAGATGTCTTTGCTCCAAAATTTCAAAGCAGCTCTGTTATTTATGTATGCACATGTCACAGCATATGATATTTGACTTCAATTAAGGACGCCAACAAACTACTCGTATACACATAGTGAGCACTATTTCCAATTCAAAACTTCAAATCAAAGAAACCAAAAACCTTAGAAGTTATCAGGGTAGCCACTAATAACTTCAGAATCATGATAAATTATTCAAACCTAATTCAAAAAACGCACCAAAGGGAAAATTGCGACGCCTCATTATGGAGTTCCCAAGGCTCAGTACTGTAACTCTCAGGATTCAAATAATGTGGCAATGAAGATAGTAAGCATACTGCTAAGAAGGAATCACAATGCAGAGGCTGTGGTCAAGATCTTAAACATTATATCCTTCACATTTCGAACCTTACAACTAAGACTTCTAGAAAGTTTTCTAGTAAATATTAATCAATTATAAGTATATAATTCACTTCTTTTACTTGCATCTAAATTTGAATTACCCTCCATCTGTTATGATAAGTAAGTTCCATCTCTGAGGTACGAGTGACCCAAATTTTCAATGAAATCTTATAATAATGAAAACAGCAATGCTACCAATAGTAAACCTCACAAGATTTACCAAAACATTTCCAAGTAAACAAAGGCCAACAAGTAAACTTTTAAGACTTTACAAATCCAACAAACACAATTCATGATACCTTACATTAGTAGTAAACAAAGAAATGCTGTAAGTCAATTTGAAAATGGCAATCCATTATAACCACTGATTATTTCCTCAAATTGAGGTCCCTTTAACACATAATTTGCTTCGCTTTTATAATTACTTTTTAAAGTTGTTGTTACTCCTTTCAGCCAAATAAAATAACTTTAATTACAATGAAATCATCACATCACTATCTGCTGCATGATACATAGTTATATTATTGAAAATCATTCAAGAAAACCAATTTCCATAATTTACAATCTTCTTGTCAATTTACAATTATTTTGTAAAATACGAACAAAATAAGTTTCAAACATCTGAGAATAACTGAAGTTTGACACAATGTACATGTTCCTTCATAAAATAAGTGAACTTGTCCTTCGACACAAAATAGGGGTTAAATTAAGATTTTTGCACTGAACAGTCAAGTACACAGGTTTTCACTCACTTTTCTGCCAGAAGTTTTGCATCCAATCCATCAGGTTCGTCTCCTGAAACATCGCCTTCATCCCAATTATAGGGAGTTTTGGGTTCTTCGATCTTCATGTGACCATAATCCTTATCAGGAGGGTGCAATGTAGCAATGATGTTCATTTCATCCCATTTCGTTTCTTTGTGCTTTCTGGGAGAATAAGAAAAGCAATAATAATTACAATAAGGGAAACTTTTATTCCAAAACAAAATATACACATTACAAAGTCACTTAGAGCAATTACAAACAATTAATACAAAATAATACAAACACCCATAGATTTGTGAGCTCTATGTCACTTAATTACAGAGAAACATTTTGAAACGTAATTTGTCTCACACTTACTTTTTAGGAGCATCAGGTTTTTCGAAACTCGATGATGTTTTCAATATTCCCTTGGAAGGTCTTTTACCTAAATTCTCCGCCATGACGCAACGTGACTCTTACCTAAACGGCGTCTGTACTATTTCTGACGCACTAAGTCTACGATATTTGCAAACATTTGCAAAACTTCATCAATATTATAAACAAGTCATGGTTCTAACAAATTTTTTCATCAAAACAGTTAACAGACAAATTCACATTCTGACGTGACGTGACGTAACGTAACCACTAGACAGAATAGAAATACACTTTTAACTATCTTGGAATACCAAGGAACGTGTAACGTAACGTAACCATCAAAACAAATCGGAGGCTCCTGCGCCGCTATAGTTCTGCAGTTATACTTCGATGTAAACACAGCTGCACTTCACGGTCACCAGCTGGAAGGAGAGGTATATAGATTATACGGGACCGGTTTCACCAACAGCCGAATAAAGTTGAGAGTAATTACCCGAGAGTAACCATTTACTCTAAGATAGTAACTCTCGAGTAGAATATATGCGTTTCACCATGCTTCTACAGGTTTATTTTACTATAGAGTACAAACTCTCCTATTTACTCCGCGAATCAGCTGAACGCGCAATATTTGAGGGCGATTCAAGAGGCTGTGGGTGAAAAGGCTGGGAACCACTGCGGACCAACGCGAACCTTTGATTAATTCCTTATATTCTATCATTCATTTCAGTTTCGGAGTTCTTGGCGTTATTATCCTGTGCGGTGTTATCGTGATTTGAGTTGGCATAGTTTATTTCTTAGTTTTTGTATCTTTATTTCTTAATATTAATATTAATAATTATTATATTAATAAATATTCATTCTTCTCTGGAGATGACTTACTATTTTGTTAGCAATGCAGGAAAATCAAATTTGCAGTTCGTTTACCGATGGCGATGCAAATAATTTTTTTATAACTCGGGAAGGAAAATGTTTAGTTTTTCAAATGTTGCTGATCTCGCGTTTTTCTAATTATTATTATTATTATTATTATTATTATTATTATTATTATTATTATTATTATTATTAT